GATAGTGTCAGAATTGGACTTGATACATGGGTATTTAGCTGGCATCTGCCATTTTGGGGCAACAAGGTATGATGGACAGTTTTATGTCAACTTGACACCAGTTAAAATCATCTTAGAGGGGGAGCCTCAGTTAAGAAAATGCCTCTAAGCTAGGAGGTGGTGCCACATACCTTTAACTCCAGCACTCGGGGAGCAGAGGCGTATGGATCTCTGTGAGTTTGGGGCCAGCCTGGTCTACAGAATGAGTTGCAGAGAAACCCTATCTCGAAAAACCAAAACAAAACAAAAAAACAAAACAAATATAAGTGGGCTAAATTGCTGGGCACTGGTGGCCTTTAATCCCAGCACTTGAGAGGCAGAGGTAGGGGCAGGTGGATCTCAGTGAATTCAAGGCTAGCCTGGTCTACAAAGTGAGTTCGAGGACAGCCAGGACTGTTTCACAGAGGAACCCTGTTTCAAAAAACCACAACATACACATACACACACACACACACACATACAACAAAAAAAACAAAGTAGGCTAAATAAGCCATGGGAAAGCAAGCCAGGAAATAGCACCCCTCCATAATGTCTACACCAGGTCCTGCCTCCAGGTTCTTGTGCTGGAGTTCTTGTTCTTTCTTGGACGATGAAGAGTGTTGTGTGTAAGCCAAATAAGCTGTTTCCTTCCCAGCTTGATTTTTGGTCCTGGTGGTTCATCACAGCAACAGTAACCCCGACTAAGACACAGGGTTACTCAACATACTTTTGGGGTCAGAGGAGTGAATTGTGCTGTGATTACAGTAGGGAAGAAAAAAATATTGAGTGTTTACTCTATATTGTCAAAGGTTAGGGCTGAATGTGTGTGGACGCTATTCCTGGCTTCCGTACTGTGAGCAGAAGTGCCAGGAAAGAAATGCCATCTTCAAACTGAACATTCTACACTGACTGGTTAGATAGAACCTTAAAGTTTCTGGAGGGGTTGGCGTGGTGTAGCTCCAGAGTCCAATTTAGAGTTTATCTTGGGCTATTACTTATCTTGAGTCTCCTAAGTGGTCATTTTCTAAATTACTTTCTGTTGTTGGACCTGACATTCTTTGACTTGACAGATAAAAACCCTTTGGAATGCACTCATTTTGCAAAAGTCTCTTCTCCATTGGTCTGAGTCACCAGATAGCACCTGCGGCCCATGGTTGAGAGTTCTCTTTGCTGAAGCTACCCACTCAATGTTTCCAAAAATGGGTTTGATAAGCACCTTGACTTCTAAGTTCCTTTGTTCTATAGCTGTAAAAATGGAGTGATGCTGCTTTTACAGTGGAACATGGGGCTAGGGGTAACCCGTGTCCGTGGTTCCTCACATTTGGCTCCAGAATAAACTCTCTTTTTTATCCTGTTTGGAGTGAGAGCTGTGTTTTGACATGGACAGTTCTAAAAATATTTTCTTTCTTTCTTTCTCTCTCTCTCTCTCTTTCTTTCTCTCTCTCTCTCTCTTTCTTTCTCTCTCTCTCTTTCTTTCTATTCAAAGTGATTTTATTGCTCGTGTATACAGGGAATTTACGCCACTAAAGCAGAGGCTGGGGATGACTCATATTTCCAGTTGGGTGGGAGGACCCGCTTAGTCTTATAGTAACGAGCCAGCCGGTGAATTCTGCTCTCTATCAGAATCAGGCAGAATTTAGCATCCTTATCCTTTCTGTTCCTCTCAAGATGCTTTCGGACAGCGACTGCCTTCTTAATCAAATGGTAGAGATCCTCAGGGAGATCAGGGGCAAGGCCTTTGGACTTAAGGATTCTCAAGATTTTATTACCAGTCACAAAACGGACCTGGGCCACACGGTGCGAGTCCCTCAGGATCACACCTATCTGGGAGGGAGTGAGGCCTTTCTTGGCCAGTTTGTAAATCTGTTCCTTCACGTCAGACGTCAGCTTCAGCCACGTGGGGACGCTGCAGCGGTAGGGCAGCGCCGGCTGGGACAGGCCCTTCCCGGGAGCGTGCATGCGACCCATGATGGCGGAGGTCTGGCAGCAAAGAGGTATTTTTCTTTTTCCATTTGTGAGTGTGTGTGTGTGTGTGTGTGTGTGTGTATGCATGTCTGCATGTGTGTGGGAGTGTGGATAGGTTGTGTGTATCTGGAGGTTGAGGTCCAGAATCATCTTCCATTACTCTTCTACCTTACTCATGGAGACAGGGTCTCTTGGTTCAAACCCAGACCTGACAGATATGGCTAGTCTTCTAGCTAACTTACTTTGCGGCTCCTTTGTCTCCTTTGGAGGCTAGAATTAAAGGTGGGCTGTGGCATCCACCAGGCATTTACATGGGTTTGAAGGTTTAAATTCTTGTCATTAGTACTGAGGCAAGCATTTTTTTAAAAAGATTTATTTATTTATTATGTATACAACAGTCCTTCCATGTATGCTTGCATGACAGAAGAGGGCACCAGACCTCATTACAGATGGTTGTGAGCCACCACGTGGTTGCTGGGAATTGAACTCAGGACCTTTGGAAGAGCAGTCAGTTCTCTTAACTGAGCCATCTCTCCAGCCCTGAGGCAAACATTTTTAACCATTGAGTCAGCTCCCCAAATCCTTATGTTCTAATAATAATGAACTTAAGTCTATATAGAGATTTAAAAAGAATTATATACTTTATGTGTGTTGGTGTTTTGCCTGCATGTATATCTGTGTGAGGGTGTCAGAGCCCCTGGAACTGGAGTTACAGACAGTTGTGAATTGCTATGTGGGTCCTGGGAATTGAATCCAGGTTTTCAAGAAGAGTAGCCAGTACTCTAAACTCTAACCACTGAGTTATCTCTTAGAATTTCTTCCTTTTCCTTCCCTCCTTCCTTTTCCTTCCCTCCTTCCTTTGCCCTTCCTTCCTTCCTTCCTTTGCCCTTCCTTCCTTTGCCCTTCCTTCCTTTGCCCTTCCTTCCTTTGCCCTTCCTTCCTTTGCCCGCCCTTCCTTCCTTTCTTCCTTCCTTCCTTCCTTCCTTCCTTCCTTCCTTCCTTCCTTCCTTCCTCTGCCTTTGAGTGCTGGGATTAAAGGTGTGCACCACCACTGCCTGGCAACCCTTAGAGATCTTATAAGGTATGGATCTGTGAGGGTTAAAAAAAGAGGCTGGGTATGAGGCTCAACAGTAGAGTCTGTACCTTGCATTTGTGAGACTTGGACTTTGGTCCCCAGGATTGTCAAAAACAACAGCTGTAACAAAAGCATCTTGCCCCGCACCACGGCCCAGGTCTGTGCTCTTTGTGCTAGACCCCACTTCGTGAGCTTCGGGCAAGGGGCTGGAGGTTGAGAATACACATGCAGAAACAGGCCGACACACACACACACACCTTCCAACACTGGTACCAAAAGCCCCTCTTTAATAGCACCATGGAGGCTTAAATACACTGCAGTCAATGGCCAACAGGTGAAAATCCCATCCTCTGATCCTCTAAGCTAGGCACAGCTTCTAGTAACTTCAATTAGAAGGCTCTAGACAGGGAAGAACAGCTGAAGGCCAGGGCTCAATTGGTTTCAGCAGCATCTAAGGGAATTGGGTAGGCTCCCTGCAAACAGTCACTTTTCTCTGGGAGAACAGCATCTATGGATTTGGGTAACTGCAGAAGGTCCTGGAAATGCTTCCTCTGGGACACTGAGGTAAGACTAGGCATGGTGAGTAGTTTGTCATAGCCAGTGATACAGTGAGGCTGGCTTTGGTGCCACTTGGAGAAGTGGATCGAGTTGGTCATAGCTCTGCAGTTAAAACTGGCGAAAACTGGAGACAAGCCCAGCAGTGGTGGTATATGCCTTTCATCCCAGTGCTTGGGAGCCAACATCAGACAGAAAAACCCTGTCTTGAAACAAACAAACCCGCAAAACAACAAAACCAAAATAACAACAAAACAAACAACAATAACAAAACTGGTCACAAACTCCTGGTCCTCCAGCTCTCAGCTGAATGGTGGGACTGGAGGTGTGAGCCGTCATTCTGGATTTCAGCACTTTTGGTACCTCAAGGACTGAAATCCTGTCTCCTGAACAGTTTATCTCAACATCAAGCTCAAGGTGCACCTGTATCCCAGGTGGGACAGAAATCATTCCCTTTTAAAGATCCTCCTTTTAGTTAGGTGTCTGCTCATGAGCACGTGCGTGCAGCTCCCCGTGAGGGCCAGGAGTGTCGGGGGCCTTTGGAACTGGAGCTTCAGGTGGTTGTGAGTCATTTGATGTGAGTGCTGATAACAGAACCCAGGTCTTCTGTATAAGAAAAATGAAGCAGTCAAATCACATGCATAAAACAATAGCTGTAATTTAGCTAGGGGTGGTGGCACATGCCTTTATTCCCAGCGGATCTTTGAGTTTGAGGCCAGTCTGCTCTACAGAGAGTTCCAGGACAGCAAGAGGTAAACAGACTTGATCTCAACAGGCTGGGACTGCTTTACTGGGACAGTGAGGGGCCTCAACCTTTCAGGATGATTTTGAGTGCAGCTATTTTATTTATTATTTATTTATTTATTTATTTATTTATTTATTTATTTATTTATTTATTTATTTATTTATTTATTTATTTATTTGAGACAGGATTTCTCTGTATAATACCTCTGGCTGTCCAGGAACTCACATTGTAGATCAGGTTGACCTTGAACTCAGTTCTGCCTGCCTCTGCCTTTCCAGTCCTGGGATTAAAGGGCAGTATGCCTGGCTAAATTATAGGGTTCTTTTGTGGTTTGACTCGAAAGCAGGGTGGGTTGATTTTGAAGAAGAGTGTTGGTGGAATTTTAATTTATGTTTGAAGACACATGGCTTCAAGAAAAGTGTTTCTCTTTATTGCTATTATTACTTGTTTTGTTTTTCTTTAGACAGGGTCTCACTAGGTAGCTCTGGCTGTTCTGGACCTCACTAGGTAGACCTCTGTGGTTTTGAACAGCCAGAAATCCACCTGCCTCTGCATCAAAGTGCTGGGATTAATGGCGTGGACCACCACACCCTGTCTGGTGATCATTCTTGATGTCTCTTCTTGTTTTCCAGCAGTTTGGATCCAGGCACCTAGGATGTTTTGGCAGAATGTCCATCACTTTGGTCAGAAGTTGGTACGCCGGCGGCCCTTGGCCGCAAACGAACTGTCTGATTCTCCCTTGTCACGATGTCTGACCACTTTGGACCTCCTGTTCTTGGGAGTGGGCAGCACCCTGGGAGCAGGCGTGTACGTCCTGGCTGGGGAAGTAGCAAGAGAGAAAGCTGGACCATCCATCATTCTTTGCTTCTTAGTGGCTGCTGTATCTTCAATGCTGTCTGGACTCTGTTATGCTGAGTTTGGGGCCAGGGTGCCGTGTTCAGGTTCAGCGTATCTCTACAGCTATGTCACAGTGGGCCAGCTGTTGGCGTTTGTCACTGGCTGGATTCTCATACTCTCCTACATCATTGGTGAGTAGGGTAGGGCCTTAGAATGGGCGTGGGGATGAGGTGGAGTGGGGTGGGCAAAGCTGGGACTTGGGTAGTGTAAGACCCAAGATGCCATTCTCTCCTTTTGTTGCCCCCTTAAAGATTAACCCGGAAGAAATGAGGTTTGTAGAGTGACTGGCTAGGTTTCCTTTTGTTCGAGACAGTCTCACTGTGGAGACGAGGCTGTCCTGAAATTTGTGCAGATACTCACTCTCCTAGCCTTGCCTCCCCAGCGCTAGGATTGCAGGTGTGAGACCCACCGAGCATTCATTTTGTTATTTTCTTTCTTTTTTTTAAAATATTTATTTATTTATTTATCATGTATACAATATTCTGTCTGTGTGTATGCCTGCAGGCCAGCAGAGGGCACCAGACCCCATTACAGATGGTTGTGAGCCACCATGTGGTTGCTGGGAATTGAACTCAGGACCTTTGGAAGAGCAGGCAATGCTCTTAACCTCTGAGCCATCTCCCCAGCCCTCATTTTGTTATTTTCAAGACAGGATTTTTCTGTGTAACAGTTCCTGACTTTCCTGGAACTCGCTTTGTAGACCAGGCTGGCCTTGAACTCACTGAGATTCACCTGCCTCTGTCTCCCAAGTGCTGGTATTAAAGGTGTGTAGCTTCACACCTGGACTTTTTTTTTTTTTTGGTCAAGATTTTATGTAGGTA